AGAGAGAGAGAGAGAGAGAGAGAGAGAGAGAGAGAGAGAGAGAGAGACGGAGACTGAGAGAGAAAGATGGGGAGACGGACGAACGGCAAATACAGGAAGTTTTAGACTTCAAGAGCAAAGCTCATTTTCATGCCCCGACCGGTACTAATTTTGTTTTGTGCTCACAATCTCTTCCGTTTCTTGCGGGCAGCGCTTGCACCGCCGCTCTCAGCTCCATCACCACCGGACAAGGACAAGCTACATCTCAAATTTCCCGTCATCCTGGCGGAGGCCTCGCTGGACGAGACCGGCCGGCCGAGACTTCGCGCCTGGGAGCAGTCGCACGCGGGGTTGGCGCACAAGGTGGCCGTGGACGCGGAGGTGCTAGGCCTTCTCGGCTACTGCGATCCCTCCGAGGTTTGTACGGGGAAAACGGGGAACAGCGCGTCTTGTAGGGCCGCCCTTCCACGCGAATCGCCGAATACCTCACGACGCTTGGTTGGTGTTGTGATGGCCTGGTCCGGTGAAACCCAGGCGTGCTCCGTCCCGGCGCTTTGTAGGGGTGTGAGGTCAATGGCCGCATGCACGGCTGTGATGACACCCTTGGCGTTTGGCTACAGCAGCGGGATTGCGTCGCATAGAGGCATGTCGGGACGGAAACTGTTTGCGCCGCGGGGTCGGCGTAAATTTGTCTTGCGCAAGCGGGTAGTAGGCGCGAGGGTAGTGTGGCGGGGACTTCCAATTTGCCGAACGCGAAGGGCATACGCGGATCCTTTGTACCTTTGGAGTCGAGAACGTAGTCTCCTTCGTAGCACGTTGAGCCGCGGGTGCCTTTCACCGACATTGGTTTTGTACCCATTCAGCAGCAGTAGTAGGTGGTGTACCTGTCACCGTACCGGGCATTTCCCGCGATAACGTGCCCCCCCGGCTCCGCGGGACGGCGGGACCTCTTTTCGGTCATCCCCGCGGGTTTCAGGAAGACTTGGACGCCGACACCGCGCACGACATCACGGCCGTGGGAGAGGCCTCGCTGGACCACGTTGTGGGCGGACCGGACAACCTCTGGGCCCGTCCCTTCTTTGAGACGAAAGACGGCAACGGCGAGCACCACTCGGCGGCGGTGGCGGGAGCGGCGCCGTCGCCGCTGATGCTGCTGGCGGCCCGCCTGCAGGGCGCGGTGGCACTGGGGAGGGGGCCCGCGGTTGCGAGGTCGTTGACGGCGGTCGTTCTCCCGCGGGGGGGAGAGTGGATGCTGCCGCGCGCTCGCCCGGTGCAGGTGAAAATATTGATGTGGAAGTGGGGGGGGCGTATGTGTCGGTAAGGGAGGACGGGGTGGGGAGGTGATGGAATGGCGTGCCCATGTTGCAAGGCAGCAGGAAGGATTAGAACGAACTTCGCACAGTCGGAGGCCGCGGAATATGACTACAACAGGAGGAAAATGTGTCCTTGAGATATGGATGGCGAAGATGATGGGTGTGACACGGCTACGTGTGATGGAGTTTGGTGGTGGCGAAAGAAGAAACTGTCGCTTGTCTGACATAGAAATCAGGCATGGCCACCAATGTTCTACTAGAAGCAGGGAGACCAGGACCAGCAACAGACGGGTGTTCGTAGATGCAAACCGAGAATCAAGCGAAAGTCAAGCTGCCGAATCTGGTTGACCGTGAGTCTACTCGAAACAGGCGCAGCGATACTCGGTTTTGCAGAGAGAACGGGGTTCATTTTCGCGTAGCTGACCCCAGGTGAGACGAGAATGAATAAGGCAAACAGGCGAATGATGCCCGCCGTGCTTCGTACTCTTCTGCAGGAGTGCCAAACGGCTGAGCCGAAATGAGACCAGAATTGAAAAGCAAAGAAAGTTGGCCGTGAATTCCACTCTGCTGCAGGAGTGCTAAATGGCTGATCCGAAATGAAAACAGAAATATATTATGAGAAAATAAATTGAACGATACCCTACCAAACGTTGACCGTGTTTCGTGCTCTACTGTCGAAGGGCTAAATAGTTAACCCGAAATGAACCAGATTTGAAATATGAAAATTAAGTTGCATGTACCTTTACACCTAACGTTGGGCGTGCCTGCTGCCCTAATGTAGGAGTGCTAAAATAGCGGGCCCGAAATGAAACCAGAAACAGAAAATACAGTTAAATATATGATACCCCGCCAACCGGTGGTAGTGCCTCGTGCTCTACATCGCAGGAGTGGGCCGCCGCGGTGGCCCTGGAAGCGTGGGACGAAGCTAGCTCTCTGACGGCGGCCCTGCATGCGCCGCCGGGCGCGTCTTGGCCGTCAGCGCCGTGGCTGGATGACGTGGCGGTGACGCTTGAAGCCCTGGCAAGGCGATCTCGGCAGGCGGAGCGTATCCTGGAGGCCTCGATCGTGAGTCCTGCTGCGCCGATCTCTTGTCCGTTTCGCTTTTTTTCCGTCGGTTGTTCCCTTTTTTGTTTTTTCTCAGTCGTTTCGTTCTTTTTTTCTCGGTTGTTCCTTTTTTCTTTTCTTGGTCGTTTTTTTTTTTTTTTCTTGGGTCGTCCCTTGTTTTTTTGTCTCTTGTTCCTTTGTTTTTCTTGGCTGCTCCTTTCTTTCGTTTCTTGGTCGTACTTCTTTGTGGTTTCTCGGTCGTCCCTTGTTTTTTCTTTCGTGGTCGTTCGTTTTTTTTCTTGGATGTTCCTTCTTTTCGTTTTTTGGTTGTTCCTTTTTTTCGTTTCTTGGGCGCCCCTTGTTTTTTTGTCTCTTGGTCGTTTTTTTTTTTTCCTTGTAGCGTCTGGGTTTCGTCCCGATAATGGGTCGTGTCACGAAGAGGTAGCCGATGAGAAACGCTCAGGCCAGCGCGTGTGTGGGACGGAGTTTTTGAAGGCGCGCGTGGGGGGGGTGCACACATGGCGCTTATCTATTTCCGCCGAACTTTTATTTCATCTCGTCGCACACACCCAAAGAATCTACGGTTCAAGTTCGATTGCGAGCGAGGAGGCGCATAAGGTGTCGAGCGCGCCTCGCACGCGGCCAATGAGTGAGACGACATGTTCGACTCGTCTTCTTGCCGCTTGCCAAGTTATTTTGTATATATAGGTATGTTTTTCTGGTCTCCGATCAAGGCTTGCCGGCCGGCAACCCGTACCATGCATGGTGTTGTCATGGAATGGAAGGCATGATACAGCATGAAACGCGTAGGCCGTGCATTCATTATCCCGACATTTCGTGAGCATCCCCACCCGCACCCCCACCCCGGCTTTGTAGGGATGCGAGGTCAACGGTCCAACGATTACGGCATGCACGACTATGAGTACACCCTCCCCCTCCCCTCGACCACCCTCGCTCTCTTTCTCAGGAACGCTGCCGACAGTACTGCAAGGCGGCCAATGCCTCTTGCCCGGAACCGGTCCCGGTCGGCGTCCTTCGGCTTCGGCGGCGGCGTCCGAACTCAGCCGCGACGCAGCGGCTCGAGGCCGCCAGGGTGGCGGAAACGGCCCCACTCCTCTCCCGGCTGCGCCGCGCCGCTCTGGCCGCCCGCTTGGCGCGTCAGGTGTCTTCTGCCGCAGCGTGGATACTGGTGTCGGGACTGGGACGGCCTCCGGCGGCGGCCTCAGTGAGGATAGCGGAGCCAAGTGCGACGGCCGGCAGGGAGAAGGAGTCAAGTCCTACTGTAGCCGGGTCTTTGCCGGGGTTGGTGCGACCGACCCCGGTACACGCGGCGGCGGCGGCGGCGGCGGCGGCGGCGGTTGTCGCGCCGACGGTAAGACTGCTCGAGCGCCTAAGGGAAAGAGGCGGTCTACCGGCGAGGGCGGGGGTTCGACGACAGGACAAAGCTCCCCGGCGGCGGTGCTCAAAGGCGGATGAGAACTTTGTCGTCGGTTCTGGCGTCACCGCTGGCGACCGCACCGGCGTCCGGGAGTTTTGTCCTTCCGGTGGCGGCGCCGGCGCGCCGTTGGCGGTCCTGTCAGAGATGAACTCCTTCCTGCGAAGCGTTTTCGTCGCCGCCGGCGAGGAGGGTTTCGAAGACGTTGATAGGGTGCTGGGGTCTGTGGTGGGAGGGGGGGCAGAGAAGCTGGGCGAGGCCCTCGGGTCGTTGCTTGAGCGGGGGCTGGGTGTGGTGGCGTACAGGTAAGAAGAAATGTTGGGTGTCTTGCGGTGAATCGTGGCGATTTTTTTTTTCCGCCGCCTCAGTCTCGCGGCTGCACGGGTGTGGCGCGTGGAGGTCCTCAACAGTTGAAGACGTCCCGTGTGTGTGGTGGCACCTAGTGAATGAGCGTTGCCAGTGACCCTCTTGACAAGTAGCTGTCCTTTTGCTGGGTACGTGCGGCTTTGTGTTGTACCTCACCGGGGGGAAGGACGACCCTTTAGGGCGGGAGCGGAAGCGCCCCCGCGTCGTTGCTGTTCCGTTCCTGCTCTGTTGGTGTAGCTCCACCCGGCGTGCCCGGCCCGTCACCTTTGATTTGTAGTTTGGTCGTTTGGTACACCTTCATGCGTCAGCGCGAAGCGGGATTTTTTGTAAGAGAGACGGCGGCAGCATGTGGCAGAGGCGGCAGGGCTTCAGGCGTAGACGCAACCTGATAGATGTCGAACGATCGCTTGTCCTCGCCGCATAAGCTTGAACCGGCTGAGCAACCCATCGTACTTTCGGTGGCGTGTTTCCCCTCGTGTGTTCTTCTTAGCGTGATGGACACGGCGTTCTCGAGAGGCTTGTCGTCACGCGCGGCAACAGGTGGTACCCTTTCGATTGATCACGCCCGGGAACCGGACCAAGAGGCACAGGAGCGAGCCATTCTCGGCACCGCGGAAACGGTTTTCGACCGTTTCTGCGAGCAGGTTTGTGGATCGGTTTTGTTGGCCACCGTAGTTTTTTTAAGGTTCTGTGCGCGTTGTCACGCGTGGTCCGTTTTTTTTTTTTTTTAGGGTCTTTTTTTTCAGACCCTTCTGCCTGTGTGATAATGTTTTCGTGGTACCTTTTGTTTTTTTACGGTCTTGCTTTACAGGCCCTTCTGTCTCCGTCGTCCTTTCTGTGGTTGAGTTGTGGTTGAGTTGGTTTTCGACGGATGAGTCTCCGTATGCGCTTGATAGTCAGCCTTTTTTGAAACGAAATTGCTTTTGAAGCCATTCGCGCGAATATGTTGCGACGCAACCCGCTCATACTTTACTCCTCGTCGCTATATTGTGTTTGCTGGCTACGTTGAATGAGGAGGGATACACGTGATTCAACATCATGCATCTTTCTCACGTTTCTCTCTCGATTCTCTCCTCGCTCTCTACGCCAAGCTCCCTACAATGGCGGATGCGAGGTCAATGGTCTTTCGACTATATACGGCATGCGTTTAAATAACTTCACCCCTCCCCCCCCTCTCCACGACGAGACTGCGAAATAAAAAAGTCTAACCGCACCCCCTCTGCCGCGGACGTTTCATCTCCACGAAGGTTCGCCTTACTCCGGAGGTCCGCATCCAGGCGCGACTCTCCTGGCTCCTCGACAGCGGGGCTCCCGGTAAGGCCGGAAGCAGCGTGCCGGCGTCGTCCTGCTCCGTGTGCGTGTCCACCGCCGCCGCCGCCCTCCTCTGCCCCAAGGCCTCGGCTTGCCTTGCGGCGGACTCAGACCTCCTGGCTATGGCGGGCGCGGTGCTCGCGACACACGGCAGTAGCCGTGGGGCCGGTGATAACGACGACGGTGGCGACGGAGGTAACAGCGGCAGCAGCGGCGGCGGCGGCGGCGGCGGCAGCGGCAATGGTGGCGGAGGTGTAGCCAAGTCGGGGCGTCGTCCACCCGCCGCTTTCCTGCCCTTGGCGGAGGAGCTCTTGAGGGCCGCGGGAGGGCCGGCGAGGGATCGGCTACGTGAAAGGGTTCGCAACGTCGAGGAGGGCGGCTCGGGACCCCTGTTGTTCGCAGGGGGGATTGCCGACGAAGGAGCTCGTCTAACGGTACCACCTGCGTGCCGTAGAGGCGGCGAAGCAGACAGTACCGGTGGCGAGCCCGTGCCGGACTTGGGGAATGTGCAACAGACGGCGTCGGACGCGAAGCAGCAGCAGCAGCAGCAGCAGCAGCAGCAGCTGCAACAGCAGCCGCAGCCACAAAAACATGAACAGTTTCTAGAACATTTTTCATCTCCGACCGATTCGACCCGAAAGGGGGCGGACGGCAGTGGCCCCCGCCGAGACAGAGGCTGCACGGTGTGGGAGACCCCCAGGGGCGTGGGGCTTACGCCGATGACAACCCCGGGAGCACGGAGGACCTCGCCACTTTCCTCCGGCCCCCGGAGGGATAGAGGCTGCACGGTGTGGGAGACTCCAAGGGGCGTGGGTCTAACGCCGAAGACAACACCGGGAGCCCAGAGAGGAACACCAGTCGCCGCTGAAGCAGAGGGCATCGAGGGACTCGATCGAGCCCGGGGGCACACGGTATGGGAGACTCCAAGGGGCGTGGGACTCACGCCGAAGGCGCCACGAGCCCAGAATGGCATGCCCGTCGAAACCACTGACGCTGAACCAGACGGGTTCCGGCATCAGGCTCGAGCCCGGGGGCAGACGGTGTGGGAGACGCCACGAGGCGTGGGTCTAACGCCGAAGGCAGTCGGTGCTGGTTCGATTGGCCCCTTCTCCTCCGCTGGGGGCGGCGGTAGTGCACAAGGAGCAGACTGCCATTGTCCCAGCAGCGCGCGTGGACAGCTGCCTCGAGCCCGGGGGCAGACGGTGTGGGAGACTCCGCGAGGCGTGGGCCTTACACCGAAGACCGTCGGCGATTCTTCTTCGAGAGGTCACATCCCCGCCGGGGGCGGCGGCAGTGCAGAAGACTGCCACAGTGCGTCTAGCGCGCATCGACAGCAACCTCGAGCCAGGGGGCAGACGGTGTGGGAGACTCCACGAGGGGTAGGTCTTACGCCGAAGGTAACAGGGGACCTCGCAGGAGGAACCGCAACAACCACCCCGCTCTCCGCGGCGGGCGTGCGGTCTTCTCCCGGAGCGTGGTCGGCGGCATCCCGATCGTCTGCTTCGCCAGTCATCGATGGGCAGCGCGAGATGCGGTTGTACGCGCAGGGGGCGCCTTGATATATCGGCCAGGCTTGACATGAGAGTGAATTTTGCAGCGCGGACCGCTATTGTACGTTTCACGTTGCCAGCCGGAGAAACTAGTGAGGGGAGACAGGGAGAGCGAGAGTACGAGAGACACCACAACCAATGTCAGTTGACGATAGCATTGATATATGGTGTGCTGCTATGAAGTCACAGCATGGATGACGAAAAGAGTGGTAGGGAAGTACGGAGTGGTCAACGTGAGACTTCGGCAGCAAGTAGCGAGTGAGAGGTGATAAGTGACATTGTGGCATATGTCGAAGTGGCAGAGATATGCTAGATTGGTACTATTCAATAATCATCCCTTGCACAGCTACGTGCTACATTGTGCAAGAAGAGCAAAGATACGCTCTGTGAATACATCCAACGGCAGTTCTCGGACGCTTTGTACGGGCTCGATGGCCTGTTTTTCCGGCGCTACACAAGGCGCATCGGCCCTTGACCTTTGTCGGTGGTTGGAGACCACACACAGTCCCCATCCCTAGTTCGCAGTACCCGTGTCGAGCCTTGATATCGCTGTTCGGATCGGAACCTTTACCAGTGACTTGGAGTTCTTCAGAGCTTGAGCAGGCAGGAAGGGTTTCAATCCCCTTGCTGCATCGAGCCTTGAGAAGGCATTCGATAAAGAACGGGCAGCCCACACTGGCTCCCCTGCCATTGGAGTTTAGGCCGAATGGCAAGAAATCTGTTCACACACACACACTTGGTTCCCTCTTGACACCAAGTGTGTTTTCACTCGAAATTCCACATGCGACTCAATTCATCACGAACACTCTATCAGTACACTCATCGTCTCGCGCTAGCAAAAAAATCCGATCCGCGTACCGGTGGACCCTGCCGGCACCTAGTGTAGTAGTAGCACGTACCGTCTCATTCACAGTCTTTTCGACTCTCAACCCCCGCCGGTTCTTTCTGAGCACAACAGTGGCGGCGTCTGCTCACCCGCACATTCCGCCGTCCCCTTGTTGCTCAATGTCTATGTACCTTCTTTCGCCTCGCCAGCCTGTGGTTTCACTCTAAGTCTCTCTCCCGATCTTTCGAAACCTGCATACAGTCACCCCATGTTGCTGACGTGCCGAACACGCAACTGTTGTTCACTGTCACTCCTAGAACCGACCCTCTCTTGCAGCACTCTTTGTCTTTCTTGCCTTTCTTTCCTGCTGTGTACAGGGCCTGCCGCGGCACGCAGGGCTGGCGAGCATTCCATCTATCTCCAGTGCCTTCTTCATCGCACCACGCCGACTCAGACGGGAGATGTGAGACCGAGAGAGGGCAGCGTTTTCGTACCGGCATACCGCGCCATACACAAGGTTCATCCTTGGACACCACTGTACTCTCGTCACCGTTCTTCCTTGCCACGGCACCGTTACCCACTAACATTCGCCCAGTTTCAGTGTGGCTCATGCCAATCCACGTGATCCTCCGCACTCCTCAAAGTCATTCTGGACCACGACATCAAGTTCAACCCAACATTGATCAAAGTTTCACATGTATGTTCGTTCATTCTATCGCACCTCGCCGCTTTCCACCCTCAAATTCTACTCCAGCCCCACCGTTCCTTCCCTCTTTGGATCAGGCCAGTGTTTCATTTCATTTAAACTCACTTGTACTTAACCTGACAGCACCCTCACAAACCCCTCCCATTGTTGCAGCACCTCAACATGTCGATCGTATTGCACTCGCGCCCGCCCGCACAATCAAAAACTCTTAAGAATCCCCGCCAGCATGTTCACTCGTTCGTGGGAGAACGGGCAGGTTGGCGGAGGGACGGTTGGCACCGCCGGACCTCTGACGAGCAACCGGACAAGGCATCACGAAATGCTCACGTCCACTTGTTCTCACGCCCCCACCAGATGGGGCCAGCCTCTAGATCCAACACGACATGGCCGACTTGCTGGTGGTGTTAAGCTCCCCCCCTTGCTCTTATCCCGACGATGGGTGCAGAAATCTTGTCCCTTGAGCGCCGTGTCCGTCTCTTCGCCCAGGAGAGCCACAGATTTTCTCACGGACGACAAGCACCACTTGCGCAGCCCCCCACACGACTCCCGGCGTGTGTCAGTCGCAGCAGTGTTGGAATGCGACGTCGAAATATAGCAGCAGGAGAACGCGTCTCTCGCTTTCGCGTGTAGTGGTCGGGAAGGCACGTCAGAATGACAGGCCCCTCGATGTGGTGGAAGCCTCCTTCATCAAGCGCGGCCACCGGACAGAGCGGTATTTCGAGAGCGAAGCACGTGGCACCCAGGGTCGTGAGGAGCTCGCCGACGCCTTCCTGTGTGTGTGCGAAAAGAGAAACGAGGGTGACGTCAAGTACAAGAGGCAGTCAGGCCGTCGCAGGTGAAGAAGCTCCCCCAACAAAAGAAAACGTTGCGGTGGAAGGGCGAATTGGGCGTTGGTCTCAGGTTGCCACCACCGAGCACAGAACACTGTTCGGACAATGATGTCACATCCGCTTACAATACATGTAAATCGACATCGCGTGCCTCGTACCGACCTCATGCAGAAATCACAAGCGACAGAAAAAAAAAGGCTTCCTGAAATTGCGCGATCTTTTTGTTTTATTGTGTTCCCCCTGCCCCGTGGTTGTTTGCCCGGGGAGAAAACCCCACCCAATCTCAGGCTTCGAGCAATCAGAAACGACATTTGACCGTAATGAACGCAAGACAGAGAAGGAGGAAACGTTCGTTTCCAGAAGCTGTATCCGGGGATTCTTGCAGGAGTGTGCCCCATTCGCACCCGTGCACATCCTTGGTGTACAGACAGAGTGCCGGTGGTAGCCTACCTCGCTTCATCTCTCGGGAGGGGAGGGGGGGGGGGCTAGCCTTTAGGGCCGGTAGTGATGGGACGCATGCGATCTTTGTCGATTGTGTAGGTATTACTGAGAGACCCCGCACAGGGCTAGGTCGCTAGGCATGATGTGGGCAAGGTTCATAAGTGCCCGACGTGCTCCTCGTAATTGTCCTGTATCATCTCCTCCTCAACACGCGACAAACAACGGTTTCAGGTGGAAACCATCCGACTTTGCATGGACACACCAAGCTCGAAACTACATAGTCTTGCCCCCCCCGCCGCTTTCACCTTGGTCTCGTGGAGCTCGAGAAACTTCTTCACCTCCATAACCACCTTCACGATGGAGCCCCCGTCAACCTCAAGCATCATCAACCCCTCCTCCACGTTCGTGTTCTTCGCTAGCCTCTCAAGGAACGTGCCTGCCCGTAGGATAACCTCCTTTGCCCCCCTCCTGGCGTTACCACAGGCGCTGGAGCCGTAGGTGTTGCTGTAGTCTCGAAACAGCTTTTCGGCGCCGCCCGGGGTTTCTGTGGCAGCACCGGAGGCCGCAGTGAGGTTTCGGGCCGTCTCTGCGGACGCCAACGGGGATCTCAAACCGCTATCGGTGGCGGTAGCGGCGACGTGGCCGTCATGATCGTACTGGGTGCCCTCCGAAAATCTGCCATCGATGCCAGATCCAGCTACGCGTTCACTGCCTGAATATTTGTTGGGGGTGGACGGGGAGGGGTGGGGGGCCTCGAAAGAGCCGCTGCCGGCGTCGGAGACATCAATCTCTTCCGGTGCGTGCAGCAGCGTGAGAGCGTGCTGCTCGTGCGGCTGACTGACCCACTCCTGCATTTTTTCCCTCCCCGGCCCGGCCAGCAAAGACCAACGGAGGTACGGACACGCGCTTTGCTGTCGTTGGGAGCGAGCCAATATCAAGACGAGCGAAGCCAGATCCAACGCCAGCATCGATTCCTCCGGCGAAGGCGGAGAGCTGATCGCTAACGCTACCACTGTCACCCCTCACGGTGTTTTGCTGCAGACCTGTCGCCGAGAGTTCGGGAGCAAGCCGAGACGGAGACGTGGCGGGGTAGAGCGATGAGGGGGGCAAGGCACCGCCAGCACCACCATCCTCAGTATAGTCACCCCTGCGTCCATCTCCGATCGTGATCTTCTCGAAATCCCGGCAGAGTACCAATTGATTCTCCTCCTCCTGCTGCTGCTGCTGCTGCTGCTGCTGCTGCTGTAGTTGAAGTTGTTGCTGCTTTGCTTGATACCTCTGCGCCTTTTTCAGGAGGGCTGCGGCCGTCATAGAGGGGGGGAAATATGATGGTGCACACGGAGAAAGTTGGGATTTACTTGCGGGCGATGCCGTTCCCGGCCGCAGCGGCGAGAGCAAGGCGCGATTGAGCTGTTGTTCCTGTTGCTGTGCATGCCGTCGGCGTTGCTGTTCATGCTGCCGTTGTTGCTGCTGCCGCACAAGCTGCTGCTGCTGCTGCTGTTGCAGCTGAGCGTTCTTGAGCCGGGTCATCTGCTGCTGGAGGGAGTCCGCAGTTATCTCTTCGACGTTTCCGTGCCAGCCGCAGCAGTAATCACCTCCGCCAGCCTCGCCTCGGCTGCGGCGGCTCACTCCCTCTCGAGGATCACCCGCCGTGTCGGCGACAGGGACTCCGCCCTCCCCGGCGCCCGGCTCTCGACACCCTGACGGGGGGTGGCGATTCTACCTCCACTATTGCCACCGCCACCGACAGCTTGACCGGTAGCCGCCTTGGCCTCAACGGAGGCTACTAGGGCTAGCACGGCTTCCACGGCTAGGGCCGCCTCAGCATCTACGGCCGTTTCCAGCCGTACCTCCACTTTCCCGACTCGACCCTCCCGCGACACTTCCCCAGCCGCCGCGCGCCCGCCGCCGTCATCGACGCTGCTGCCACGACCTCCGCCCTCAGATGTCCCGCCCCCGGCGGCGAGCTGCTCTTCCAGGGCCAGCTTGAACTCGAGGGACTGCTGGCGGTTCAGCTCCCTGCCCCTCCTGGCGTCCCCCAGGCGGCGCTGGAGGGAGCAGAAGCCGCCGCCCGCCTCCGTCTTCATCATCCTGGCCTCGGCGGCCGCGAGCTTCCTCTCCTTGTCCTCCACGATCTCCTGGGTGTTCGACCACGCCGCCCTGGCCTCCGCGAATAGGTCTGTGTACTGCCTGGCGTTTCGCTCGGCGGCTTCGCGAGCGGCGATTTCGGAAGCCAGCTCCCGGTCCTTGCCCTCCGCCACGACCCGAGCGTCCTTCCGAGCCACCCTCGCCTCCGCGAACATACCCATGCACCGCTGGGCGTCGCGCTCGGCGGCCTCGCGGGCGGCGGTCTCCAGGCGGCAGCGGTCCGCCAGCCCCCGGAGCTCACCCTCCAGGCTCTCCGCCCGGCGCTCCGCCTCGCCGTGCTTGGAAGCCTGGGTCTGCGCGCTTACCTCCAGCTGCTCGATTCTCGCGCGCAGGAGAAGCGTCTCCTCCTGCTCTTGTGTATCGTTGGTTTCCTTGGTGACCGGCGTGCCCTGGCCGGGCTGCTCGTCCGCCTCTTTCCTCGCGCGCTCTTGTCCGAAGGGACGCAGCAGGCCTCGAAGCGCTTGCTCGTCTTCCTCCCGTTTGTGTGTCTCGTTGATTTCCTTGGTGAAGGGTGTGGTCTGCTCATCCCTCGCGCGTTCTTGTTCGAGGGGACGAGAAGGGTCGTTAGCACGGTCACCGCGATCGCAGTCGCTTCCTCCTGCACCTGTTTGACGTCCATTGGAGAAAGCACTGGTGCCGTGCTGGGTAGGGAGCGGAGCAGGCGGAGTAGGGAGCAGAGCAGGTGATTTGGCCGGAACGCCCTCTATAAGCGCCTCCTCGTCTTCCTCCTGCTCTTGTGTCTCGTTGGTTTCCTTGGTGAGGGGTGTGGTCTGCTCATCCCTCGAGTGTTCTTGCTCGAAGGGATGAGAAGCGCAGTCGTAAGCACATGGTCACCGTCACCGCCCAAGCCTCCTCCTGCACCCGTTCGACGTCCATTAGAAGAAGCTTTGGTGCCGTGCTCGGTAAAGAGCGGAAAATGCGGTGTAGAGAGCAGAGCTGGCGATGTGGCCGGAACGCCCCTTGTAAGCGCCTCCTCTTCCTCCTGCACTTGTGTCGCGTCGATCTCCTTGATGGTGGGCGCGCCCTGGCTGGTCTGGTCGTGCACCTCTTTCCTCCCGTGTTCTTGTTCGAAGGGACGAGAAGGGCCGTCTTTTGCACGATCACCACCGCCGCCGAAGCCTCCCCCTGCACCCGTTCGACGTCCATTGGAAGAAGCACTGGTGCCGTGCTTGGTACAGAGTGGAGCAGGCGACGTAGAGAGCAGAGCAGGTGACGTGGCCTGAACGCCTCCTGTAAGCGCCCCTTCTACCTTCTGCTCTTGTGTCGCGTCAATCTTCTCGATGGTAAGCGCGCCCTCGCTGGTCTGCTCGTCTACCTCCTTCCTCGCATGTTCTTGTTCGAAGGGGCCAGAAGTGTCGTCGCCAGCACCGCCACTGCCATCGCCGAAGCTTACCCTCTGTACCTGTTTGACTCCCGCTAGAAGAGGCACTGGTGCCGTGTTCGGCAGAGAGCGGAGGAGACGATACAGAGCGTGGAGCACGCGATGTGGCTAGAACGCCTCCTGTCGACGGGTCGCGGCTCGTGGAGTCGCCGTCAAGCTCCGTTGGGAACTTGTTCCTGAGCAGCTCCATCCCACTTCGCGGAGATTCCAGGGGAATGTAAGGGGAATGATCCCCACCGCTGCCGCCGACACTGGTTCCCACTGAGTCGTCGATAGCTTGAGGGGACGAAGCCGAAACGATAGCTGCGCGATCACCAAACGGAGCAGGCGATGCGGCCGGACCCCCTCTCGTCGACGGGTCGCGGCTCGTGGAGTCGCCGTCAAGTTCCGTTGAGACCTCAGTCGGGAGCAGCTCCTTCCCGCCTGGTGAAGAAACGTTTGGGGTATGAACCCTACCGCTGCCACCGACACTGGTTCCCACTGAGTCGACGGTAGCTTGAGGGGGCGAGGCCGCAGCGATAGCGGCGCGATGACCGAGCGGAGCAGGTAGAGAGCAGAGCAGGCGATATGGCGGGAACGCCTCCCGTCGACGAGCCGTGGCTCGCGGAGCCGCCGTCAGGCACGGATGGGACTTCATTCCCGAGCAACTCCATCCCTCTTGTCGATGAAAGATATGGGGTACAACCCCGCTCGCTGCTGCGGCCGCGGACACTGGTTCCCACTGGGGTAGCCTGAGGGAACGAAGCCGAAGCGATGGCGGCCCGATCACCGAGCGGAGCAGGCGACGTAGAGAGCGGAGCAGGCGATGTGGTCGGAAATCCTCCTGCCGACGAGTCGCGGCTCGTAGAGTCGCCGCCAATCTCCGTTGAGACCTCATTCCGAAGCAGTTTTATCCCACCTTGCAAGGGAAGCTTAGGGGTAGGAACCCTACCGCTGCCGCCGACACTGATTCCCACAGAGTCGTCGGTAGCCTGAGGGGGCGAAGCCGCAGCGATACCGGCGCCATGACCGAGCGGAGGTGACGTAGAGAGCAGCGCAGGCGACGCGACGGGAACGTCTCCTGTCGATGAGCCGTGGCTCGTGGAGCCGCCGTCAAGCTCGGTTCGGACCTCATTCCCGAGCAGCTCTACCCCACTTTGCGAGGGTTCCAGGGGTAGTTTAGGGGAGTGATCCCCACCGCTGCCGCCGACACTGGTCCCCACTGAGTCATCGGTGACCTGAGGGGATGGAGCCGAAGCGATGGCGGGCTGATGATCGTTGCGCTCATCCTTCCCGCTATCGTCGCTCTCGGGTGTCACGGGATCACCGGCACTGGTGTCATTTCCGGCTACGGGGTAGGGCCTCATTGGTAGCGGTTTCGTTATACCGTCAGCGTCGCCGACGTCGTCGCCCTGTTGCCGTTGCGCTACCTCTAGTCTCTGCTGCTGTGGTGCCCCCTCCTCCTCCTCCTCAGAGCCCTCAGACAGAGCCGTATTACTTGCTTGCTCCCCACCAACGCTACCGATGCTGTCACCCTGTTGCCGTTGCGCCACCTCTAGTCTCTGGTGCTGTGCTGCCCCCTCCTCCTCCTCCTCCTCCTCCTCCTCCGAACCCCAGACAGCAGTACCGTATCGATTGCTTGCCCCACAGCGCCACCAATGTCACCCGTTTGCTGTTGCACTACCTGTAGTCTCTGGTGCCGTGCTGCCCTCTCCTCCTCGTCAGAACCCAGAGATAGCTGTGACCCCTTGCGGGAAACCCCCAGCAGGTCCTGTTCCATCTCAGCCGTACCGTGGCCGGACCAGTCCGTCGAAGATACTTGAGATATCCGTCTACGAGGAGAGGCATACGGGGAGTCCAGACCTGGACAGGCGTTGCTCGGGCGTATGTCTCTTCCTCCTCGGCTCTGAGCAACCTCGATCTGCCGACTACAGCAGTAGAAGTAGTACCCTGCTTCGCGTGTGCTGGAGCTCGTTAGCAGCCGCGTGAAACCGACTCAGCCGGCTTTTCTATCCGCTTTGCTCAGGGGGCGGGGCGGTGGAATCCCTACCCGACTCCACGGACCTGCCTGAGCTGAACGGCAGATGCGTGGGACGAGGAAGGTTGACCTGATGAGCTGAGTTTCCGTAGGAGAGACAGTATAATAATCCCACAGGCGGAATAGAAGCGGGCGGGTGACCTGTAGACGACTCCGCTTGCTACTGCTGTCAATCTACAGCAGTTTTGAGAACAGGATCCAATGCGGGGATGTTTGCGGTGAGCTTCACAATTGCTGATGGTGGGGAGAGAGCAAATCCAGCGCATCGCTCCCCAAGAGCCGACTGAATCACAACTGGAAGCATAGAGCATGGCTCACTTGAGATGTTTTCGTTGCTTCCGCCACCCAGAGAGGGAGTACGACCACCCACCGTGCAGCAACATGTTTGAGCTGACTCTCTGCAAGACGCGTGGGGGCTTGTTCATTTCGCGGAGCCCCCTCGGTACGCTGCAAGCTGGCTCCTTCTCCGCTCGCTGCGTTTTCGCCGGCTCACCCGCTGTTCTACTCTGTTTTGCTTCCCGTTACCTCTATATCTCTCCCTTGGCCCTCGCTGGAAGTTATTATTCTTTCGAGCTTGGCTACCTGTCGTAGCAGAGCTGCTCTCGTTGGCCGTTCCCTCAGAGTCACACCAGACCGCAAGCGGATTCCCCGCAAATTCCTGTGTGTGTCCGCAACCTCTGCGCGCCCCGTGGTTGACCTGTTTTGCTACCCCTTGGCCACAACGTCACGCTAGCAAAGGGAGACTGAGACCACCTCTGCTGCGGAACAGTCGTGTAGAGCACGTATCTGAACCAATCATGGCCGAGGACGCGGCGAGGCCTTTCCTGCACCAGGGGCCGGAAGATGACTTTGGGCCCGGACTGCTCAACAGCTCCAACATGACCGCGGCCGAACCTCCCGCCACGGATAAGGCGTGGGCAGCAGCTTTCAAGGCCAACGTCGCCATCACCGTTGTGTCGGTGAGTAGAGAGGATGATCATGGGGCGATGCTATTTGTAACGCCTCTTCCCCCGTGGCACACATCTTAACTTTTCCGAAAGCTTGCTATTTGGCCAGCAATATGTACTTGTACGCATCTGGCATCCTACACCCCAGGCTGTGCTTGCATGCGGCCACAGAGCGCTATCTGCTAAGAAGTACGAAGTATTTATTTGCAGAGATTTTTGGTAGGGTCCGTGTTGATAAGGGTCCGTGGGGTGGTGAATGAGAGGGTCGAGAGAGAATGAGAAAGAGAAGATATGGACGCGGGGCCGCGGAGGTATAGCGTGGTGCTTAAAAATGCTATTGACAGGCAAGCGTCGTAGCCGCTCGCTACCGGACTTGCCTCATGGCAGTGTTTCTTCTCCCTTAGTCTAAATAACACCGACGCGTCAACTTCACTTGTCTTGTGGTTTTTCAGACGGTCGTGAAGCGTGGGTTGATGTTGGTGCCAACAAAGATACACATGCACACAAACGTTGTGCCTCATCAACTTTGTCCGGCTCACGGCCGTGCCATGCACAGCTCGAACAACGAAATGTTTGAAACTCCTAACAGCAGAAGTAAATTTTACTTGTACTGTACCAGGCACACCACAAGTTCGGTAGTTTTTGCCCCAAAGGGCCTGAAGGCACCTACCTGGCAGAGAGTGAATATTGGCGAGCCAGAAAAACGTGAAGCCTTCAGTTGTTCGAGAAGTCACAACGGGTTATTAAGTCAGCCGGTGTTTGAAGATTTTCTACAGCTGATATTGTATGGTATGGGTGTGATCCCTGCCGTCCTTCTTTTCAGGAAGGCATTCGCACCCTCGCGGGTGAAAGATAGCGTAGAACAGCACGATAAGGAGCAAGGCAGCGCACGGCGACTAGCGTTGCATGCGGTCATGGTTAACACACGCACGTATTTCACGCTCGCGGCTCGTAGGGCCATGCCACGACCATTCCCCCCCGGTGTTTGCCATCGGGGTTGGGTTTTCGTCGCTTGGCAACGACGTTGTAAAACAAGCCGCCCCCCCCGG